CTCATCCGCCTCCTCCTCCTCCTCCTCCTACTCCTCCTTTTTCCTGATCCTCCCCCTCCTCCTCTTCTTGCTCCCCCACGCGTTCCCCGAATTCTTTCCAAACCGACTAGGGGAACAACTGGCCCGAAAGCTAGGCCAAGCTCTGGCCCAGCTGTCGGCCACAGAGGCGCTTCCAACGGGGAAGGGGGCGGCGGTGATTCGCCGTAGGCGTCTTCGATCCGCCGCCCCCTGTCGCTTCATCGCAGGGGTGCCTGGCGTGCTGGACCCTTTCGGTTTTGGTTTTCTTTTTCCAAAAGAACTCTCCCAATGGGTTTCGGCCCGTCCCGCCACCGTGCCGTTCGCTCGGGACATCCTCCAAAAATCGCAACGTGCACAAAAAATCCTCCCAAAAACGGCCGTTTCGCTCGGGACATCCTCAAAAAATCGCGCGCGAACGTGCACACAAAATCCTCCCCAAAACGGCCGTTTCGCTCAGGACATCCTCAAAACATCGCGAAGATGGCCCAAGATGGCCTCCAAGTCCGCCCAAGATGGTCCAAGACGGCCTCCAGGACGGCCCAAGAGAGTCCAAGACGGCCCAAGACGGCCCAAGAGGCCCCCCAGAGGCCTCCCAGACGGCCCAAGAGGCCTCCAAGAGGTCCTCCAGGAGGGCCCGCAGAGGCCGAAATCATTTATTGTTCTTAGGTTTTTGAAGGATTTTGGAATTTGCTTCTTCTCGGCTTTCCGACTGCTCAAGACGGCCCAAGAGGCCCCCAAGGTCGCCCAAGAGGCTCCCAAGAGGGCCCCATGACGGCCCAAGTGGCCTCCAGACGGCCCCAATAGGGCCCAAGAGTGGCCTCCAAGACGGCCCCAAGACGGCCCCATGACGGCCAAGATGACCTTCAAGATGCCCACGTGTTCCCCGAAGGCTTTCCAAACCGATTCGGGGAACACATGGTCCGATAGCTTCGCAGGTCTGGCCTCAACGTTCGGCCACATAGGCGCTTCCACAAAGGCAGGGGGCGGCGGTGATTCGCCGTAGGCGTCTTCGATCCGCCGCCCCCTGTTGATTAATCACAGGGGTGCCTGGCGTGCTGAACCCTTTCGGTTTTGGTTTTGGTTCTTCTCCAACAAGACTCCCCCTGGGGCTCCGGCGCGTCCCGCCGGGGTCCCCGGACGATCTTCAAGGAACTCAATTCCCCCAAAAATCCTCCAAGACGGTCCAAGATGGCCTCCAAGACGACCTTCAAGATGGCCACGTCGGCCCAAGATGGCCTCCAAGATGGTCCAAGATGGCCTCCAAATTCGCCCAAGATGGTCCAAGACGGACTCCAAGACGCCCCAAGAGTGCCCCAAGAGGCGCCCAAGACACCTCCTCCTCCTCCTCCTCCTCCTCCTCCTCCTCCTCCTCCTTTTCCTCCCCCTCCTCCTCCTCCTCCTCCTCCTCCTCCTCTTCCTCCTCCTCCTCCTCCTCCTCCTCCTCCTCGTCCTCCTCCTCCTCCGCCTCCTCCTCCTCCTCTTTTTTTTGTTCCTCCTCCTCCGCCTCCTCTTCTTGCTCCTCAATTTTGGACGCCCGAAATGGGTACGGAAAGAATGGGTACAATGCCCAACAACAAATGTTGTCCCAAACCAACAGCGGCCGCTGTTGGGCAGGCGGCCTTCTGTCTCAAATGGACTCAGGCCGCGGCGGCGCGGACAGCGAGTCCTGTTCAAAATGAGCAGGAACTGCTGTTAGGCATCGTACCCATTAATTCCGTTCCCATTTCGTTCGTGCCGACCAATGCGTTCTCCGAACTCTTTCCAAACCGACTCGGGGAACAACTGGCCCGATAGCTTGGCCAAGCTCTGGCCCAGCTGTCGGCCACAGAGGCCACTAGATCCGCCGCTCTCTGTTGGCTTGCCACAAGGGTGCCCGGCGTGCTAGATCCTTTCGATTTTGGCTTTGGTTCTTTTCCAAAAGAACTCCCCCTGGGGCTTCGGCCGATCCCGACGGGGTCCCGGAAAGGCCCCGCAACCACCTCAACGACCGCAAAAAATTGTCCAAGACGGCTCAAGACGGCCTCTAAGATGGTCACGTTGGCCTAAGATGGCCTCCAAGATGGCCCAAGATGGCGTCCAAGTCGCCAAAGATGGTCCAAGATGGCTTCCAAGACGGCTCGAGAGAGTCCAAGATACCTTCAAGTTCGTCCAAGAAGCCTCCAACACGGCCAAAGATGGCTCCAAGATGGCCTACGACTGGCCAAGAGGCGCCCTAGAGACCTCCAAGACGTCCTCCAGGAAGGCCCGAAAGGGCAACAATCATTGATTTTCCTTAGGTTTTTGAAGGATTGTGGCATTTTCTTCTTATCAGCTCTCCGACTGCCCAAGACGGCCTAGGAAGCCGCCAACATCGTCCCAAGAGCGCCCAAGAGGCCTCCAAGATGGTGCCATGACAACCCAAGAGGCCCCCAAGAGGGCCCCAAGAAGAGTCCAAGACGGCACAAAATGGCCCCGAAGACGCCGAATATGGCCTCCAAGACGGCCAAGATGCCTCCAAGATGCCTCCAAGACGGCCAATAAGGCCTCCAAGACAGCGAAGGTGGCCCCAAGATGCACCCAAGACGGCCCCAGATGGCCTCAAGATGGCCTTCGACTGCCCAAAAGGCCCGCAAGAGGCCTCCAAGACGGCTCAAGAGCCCTCCAAGACGTCCTCCAAGAAACCCGAAAGCTCGGAAACCACCTGGTACGATAGCTCGCCCGACTCCGTGTTCCCCGAAAGCTTTCGAAACCCACTCGGGGAACGCGTGGCCCGATAGCTTGGCCAAGCTCAAACCCAAGTTTCGGCCACGCATGCGCTTCCAAAAAGGCAGGGGGCGGCGGTCGCCATAGGCGTCTTCGATCCGCCGCCCCCTGTGCTAGTCACCGGGGTGCCCAGCGTGCTGGACCCTTTCGGCTCTGATTATTTCCCACATGCTTAGTGGGGTTATGGTTTTCTTCCCACCCGCGTCGCACACGCGTTCACACACCGGGCTCCCTCTCCATCTCCCTCTCGTCACGCACACACAGACACACACACACACACACACACGACACACAAACGACGTATGCGTACATACTGGGCACACACATGAGGTACACGTCCCGAAACGGCCGCACACGTATGCGCTACAAACTGGACACACACGTGAAGCACACGTCCCGATACGGCCGCACACGCATCATCCACATAAAAAAGACATGCCATATACAAGACGTGCGTGTAGCATTCGCAGTGTACGGCAAGCTTGGCATTCTCTGGATACCATAGGGGCTGCGCAAGGTGTGTGCCCCGAGCGCGGCGTCTATGCGGGGCCATGGCGCAGGGCATAGCAGGCATGGCGCTCTCTCGACACCATAGGGGGTGCGCAGGGGGTGGTCCCCGAGCGCGGCATCCATGCGGGCCATGGCGCAGGGCATAGCAGGCGTGGCGCTTTCTCGACACCACAGGGGGTGCGCAGGGGGTGGTCCCCGAGCGCGGCGTCTATGCGGGCCATGGCGCGAGGCATAGCAGGGGTGGTACTTTCTCGACACCATAGTGGGTGCGCAGGGGGTGGTCCCCGAGCGCGGCGTCTATGCGGGCCATGGCGCAGGGCATAGCAGGCGTGGCATTTTCTCGACACCATAGGGGGTGCGCAGGGGTGGTCCCCGAGCGCGGCGTCTATGCGGGCCATGGCGCGAGGCATAGCAGGGGTGGTACTTTCTCGACACCATAGTGGGTGCGCAGGGGGTGGTCCCCGAGCGCGGCGTCTATGCAGGCCATGGCGCAGGGCATAGCAGGCGTGGCACTTTTTCGACACCATAGGGGGTGCGCAGGGGTGGTCCCCGAGCGCGGCGTCTATGCGGGCCATGGCGCAGGGCATAGCAGGCGTGGCGCTTTCTCGACACCATAGGGGGTGCGCAGGGGGTGGTCCCCGAGCGCGGCGTCTATGCGGGCAGGCCATGGCGCATGGCATATGCGGCCATGGCGCAGGGCTGGTTTCTCATAGGGGTGCGCAGGGGGTGGTCCCCGAGCGCGGCGTCTATGCGGGCAGGGGGTGGTCCCCGAGCGCGGCGTCTATGCGCCATGGCGCAGGGCATAGCAGGCGTGGCACTTCCTCGACACCGTAGGGGGTGCGCAGGGGGTGGTCCCCGAGCGCGGCGTCTATGCGGGCCATGGCGCAGGGCATAGCAGGCGTTTCTCGACACCATAGGGGGTGCGCAGGGGGTGGTCCCCGAGCCCGGCGTCTATGCGAGCCATGGCGCAGGGCATAGCAGGCGTGGCGCTTTCTCGACACCACAGGGGGTGCGCAGAGGGTGGTCCCCGAGCGCGGCGTCTATGCGAGCCATGGCGCAGGGCATAGCAGGCGTGGCGCTTTCTCGACACCATAGGGGGCGCGCAGGGGGTGGTCCCCGAGCGCGGCGTCTATGCGGGCCATGGCGCAGGGCACAGCAGGCGTGGCACTTTCTCGACACCATAGTAGGTGCGTAGGGGGTGGTCCCCGAGCCACTCGTAGGGATACGCCCTCGGAAACTGAGGTCATTCTTAAGCTCGGCATCGCGACAAGGTGATGCCCAACATAGGGATACACGCCAGTCGGAAGAAGTAGGTAAAAACATGAAGTAGGAAGGCGTTGGGTAGATTGGGCTTCCACCCGCCCCCTGAAGAGGAGCAAAGAAGGAAAACCGCTCGACTCTTGAAGTAGGAAGGCGCCCAAAGTAGATTAGGATTTCGGCATCCAAAAAAATACCTACTTTCACCGACCGGCGTGTATGGGGTATGGCTCAGGCTGGTCAGTGCACGGTCAGTGCACGGGCGCCGGAGGCGGAGGCGGACGAGGAGGCGGAGGCGGAGGCGGAGGCGGAGGCGGAGGGCGCGACGAGGGAAGAGGGGCGGGGGAGGAGGAGGAGGAGGAGGAGGAGGAGGAGGAGGAGGAGGAGGAGAGGGAGGCGAGGAGGAGGAGGAGGAGGAGGAGGAGGAGGAGGGCCGATGCGCGATGAGACGCGGTCAGTGCACGGGCGAGCGCCTTGGTCGGCGTCGCCCCTGCTCGCGGCAGCCGGCTCGCTGTCGGCGGGCACCGGCACCCCCGCCCACGCGCAGATGCGGCGCAGGCAGTCCAGGTAGGCGACGTCCTGGGGCGTCGACTGTGGCGTTCTTCTTCCTCCTCCTCCTCCTCCTCCTCCTCCCTCCTCCTCCTTCCTCCCCCCTTCCCTCCTCCTCCCTCCTCCTCCTCATCCTCATCCTCCTCCTCCTCCTCCTCCTCCTCCTCCTCCTCCTCCTCCTCATCCTCCACCTCCTCCTCCTCCTCCAGCTCTCGGCCCAAAGAGGTCCCTCGAGGCCCCCAGATTCCACCGAGGTGCACGGCAGGATGGCGAGGGGGGGTCGGCCTCCCGAAAGCTGCGCGGTCGCCTTTTCTGGATACCCCCCCCCCAATAGCCCCCAGGAGCCCTTTCTGGGCGCATAGAGCCGTGCATTAGAGATCTGAGCTTGGACGTCGCAGAATCAAAGGAATAGGAGGAAGAGGAGAAGCGACCTGCATCAAGAGGGGGGAATAGAATTTCCAACGTCTCGAGCACCCCAACCTCCCGTGGGCGCACCTTGGCTGCCAGCCAGCGCCAAGTGAGGGAGCAGAGGATAGGAGGGAAGAAGAGGACGAGGAGAAGGAGGAGGAGGAGGAAGAGGAGGAGGCGGTAACGGAGGGAGAAGAGGACAGGAGGGAGAGTTGAAGGGGAGGTCGGTTGGGCGTTACATCATTGCGAGGACAGTGATGGGAGGGCGGAGGAAGAGAGAGAGAGAGAAGGAGACCTCGGGCAGGAAAGGTGCCGGGCCTCGAAGGTCTCTCCTCGGAGCCCAAGAGAAACATTCCCCGACTTTGGTGGGCAACGGCCCCCGGCTGTGCAACGGCGTAGAGGTGACCTCCCCCTCCGCCGTTCCTGTCCTTCTCTACATTCCCGTTGAATTGCTCAATCCCGCGCCTCTCCGAGGCATACGCGAGCAATTCGGACGACCACTGGTCGACGAGGCTTTTGTGGTGGACTCCTGAACGCGCGCACGCGTCTGGTCGTCATTGCAAGCGTCTTGCAACTTGCACTTACGATGATGGAGATCCTCCCGAGTGCACTCGTTCCAGCGAGCCCGACCAACCTGCAGAGGACCCTGCGCGGAACGCCCACCTCACTGCATCTTGCATCCCTCCTCTCCAAGCCTGGCGCCAAGAGCTTGCACGTGGCATTAGCAAGAACCTGCCAGGCCTGAACTGGGTCGGGTCGCGAAATTGGATCGGAAACGGATCGGATCGTCAACATATCGCCTCGAATCGGATCGAAATCGGAACGCAGAGCCTGGCTCTGGCTGGCCCAGGCCAATGCCTGCGAATCGAACCGAGTCGACCCGAACCGAAATCACTGACACAGCTGGCGCATCGAATCACATAGAATCGGATCGTGGGCGAGCCTGCTGCGTCTACGACCCAGCAAACGTCACCTGAGCTTGTTTTTGAGAGGGCATTATTTTCATTCGCGGCGATAGCGGGCCTCCTCCTCCTCCTCCTCCTCCTCCTCCTCCTCCTCCTCCTCCTCCTCCTCCTGCTGGAGGGAGGAGGGCAAAGGGGGGGGGGTGCATCACGCAACGCGCTCCCCCACCCCCCGCCGTTATGGGTCCAGCTCCACAAACTACGTTGCCGGACGCACTGCGGCAGTGCCGGAGACGCACTGGGGGGGGAAGCGTTACGCAGTTGGGGGGAAGAGGGGGGAGGGGGGGGCATAACGCACTGGGGGGAGGGGGGGGGCATAACGCGCATCATGGCCCAGAGGATAAAGCGAAAGTATATTTCCTGTCGGCGGCCGCTCCTGGAAGGTTTGGTCGTCCTCCCCAACCGTCTGCAGGCCGAGGCGGAAGTGCCTCCCAGTAACAGTGCCCTCCTGTCCATCGCCTTTTCCGTGTCGCATGATAATCAACCCCATAAGCAGAAAAACGTGGCTGCCGCGCTGGACATGAGCTGACATGTCTCTGTCGCTATTTTGTGAATTACGAACACACGTCTACATCGCAGAGCGGGGGGGGCTGGAAAGGGGCATGCCAGCCTTTTTACAACAATATGACACCAATGTGTGGCCGCCGCGATGACCGCGGCGACCTCCAAAGCCGACCCAATGTTTTAGTTCGGGGTCTGATATCACGCAACTGGCTCCCCATACATCATGCATGCGCTCCCCGCGTTACTGCTGCTATCGTACAACGGCCTGTCACTACCGTCCGTCATTGTGCTTTCGGCGTGTTAGAGCGCGCAGGAAAGAAATGCACGTCTGGCTGTTGTCTGGGACGCGGTTCGGGGACCCACCCACCCGAACAAGACGCCAACACTGGTATCTGCCAGAAGAGCAGAAGTTTCTGAAATAATGATTGGTAGATGGTCTTGTTATACTATCAACCCTCGGTCCACTATCCAAGCGGCTTGGATTTTAATGGGCTCGGCCGTTACGTGATGTAAGCCCGTTGAACAAGGGAGGCGCGCGGACCTTTTTCTTTCCCACTCGCAGCCCAAACAGCTGCGGCCCACGCGATGACCAAGATGATACAATATGAATAGTCGGCGGCGGCTGCGGCAACGGGCGACGGCAGGGACGGCGCCACATTATGAGATCCTATATGCAGATGACACTCTTCTGATCGACGTCGACACTGGCGACGTAGAGAAGTACATGCACTGCGTGCGACGAGCGGGCAGGGTCTGCGGTTTAAGTTTCAATTGGAAGAAGCTGGAACTCGTCTCCTCAACAGACGTCGCTAGCATCACTGTGCCGACCGGCGACGAAATCAAATCCAAAAACAAAATTGTTGATCTGGGCTGCACGATCACGTCGGACGGGACGTCTGGCTCAGAGCTCAATCGCCGAATTGGAGCTGCCCGAGAGGAATTCGAAAAACTACGCCGCGTCTGGTCCCACTCCGGAATATCTCGCGCTAGAAAATTGGAGATATTCAACGCCTGCGCTGTCAGTAAGATCTTGTCCAACCTGCATTCGCTGTGGCTGTCCACCGCGGAGATCCGGAAGGTCGGCGGGTTTCAGAACTGGTGCCTTAGAAGAGTCATGAAGATACCGTTCTCTTATTACAGCCATGCCACCAACGCCTCGGTTCTACAGCAAGCCAGCGTTCAACCTATGAGCAGCATGTTGTTGGAGAGACAGCTCAAATGCATGGGGACACTGGCTCGGCGAAGCACGACCGACATTGCGAGGCAAAGCGTTTTCGACACCGAGAGTTTGCCATTTCAGCCAAGAGAGCCAGCGGGCCGAAGACGCCGCGGCAGACCTTAGACGAGTTGGGCGAAGGGCGTTTTCAAGCACGCACTGGCAGCTGCTGGCGGCGCCGAGAGGTTGAATTCACTGTTGAGCCACAGGCCGCAGAGTGAGTGGGAAGCCGTTGTGAAGGAGCACTGCCACAGTGGTGGCCAACTTTTCCCATACTAGTGCGCCGTTTGGTGCGCACAGCCTCTTGCTTGCTTGCTTGTTTCCTTTCGCGGGACAGAACTCGCTGTAATCGCGGATGCCCCCCCACTGCCATTTGCGGAAAGACTGTCGGCACACCCGTCATCCATGTCCACCCCAGTAGGGTTCGTAAATATCCCAAATACCAATCTCGTCGCTGTCACGCCCCCTCTGGATGTCGCGGCCTCTTCCGCGCATCACCGACGTTGCCACAGACGCGGTTGCAGTCGACGGCCCTTCTGCGGGGATCGCGACGCCACCGACAGGGACGTCCGCGCGTCTAGCCCCGGGCGCGGGCGAGCCTCCGGCGCGCCTGGGAGCAATTCTTTTGGGGGGCGACGGCCGGCGACTAGAAGGCGCCGGGGGCGGAGGAGGCAGACTGTCGACCACGTCGCTCCGTCGAGGTCGGCTACCGATTGAACCAGCAGCCTCACTAGGTCGCCTACCTGCATTGCACTGCTCGATGCCGAGGCACCGCCCCTGACTGAGTCAGCAGCAGCCCCAGGCACGGGAAAGCCCATCGGGCTGGCCTTGGCCGCTGGGGCAACACTACAGGCTGGGGCTGGCAGCGGCCTGGGTGCCTGCCACACTTCTCTTATCGGTCCTAGCGGCTGTTGATCTCCCGTCGCCATCAACACTCATGCGGTCCGCATCAGCGGCTGATCCGGCAATTGGCCTTCATCTTTTTTGCAAGTAAAGGGGGCGCCATGCGCGAACGCGGCAGCTTGAACGTCACATGCGACCGTCATCTGATCCCACAGCGATGCCCTGTCGCCTTAAGATTTCTCGGCCCAGTTGAACGGGGCGCCGAGTTCAGCGATGCAGGCGTGGATCATGGAAGCGAGGGAGCGCACCCGGGACCATTGGGCTATAGGGCGATGGGGCTATAGGGATATGGAACTATAGCGATACAGGGCCGTAGGGCTATAGGTCTATACGGCTGTAGGGTTATAGGGCTATAGGGCCATAGGTCTATGGCTGTAGGGTTATGGGGTTATGGGGCTATGGGGCTATGGGGCTATAGAGCTATAGAGCCACAGGGCTATGAGTCTATAGGGCTGTGGGGCTGTAGGGTTGTCGGACCATAGGGCTATTGGGCCGTAGGGATATAGCGCTATGGGGCTATAGGGCTACAGGGCTGTAGGGAAATCGAGCTATAAGGCTATAGGGCTATAGGGCTATAGGACTCTAGGGCTATAAGGCTATAGGGCTATAGTGGTACAGGAATACAGGGCTATAGGGCTGTTGGGCAATTGGGCTATTCGGCTATAGGGCTATGGGGCTATATGGCTATTGAGGTATAGGGATATATGGCTATAGAGTTATAAGGGCTATGGGGCTATGGGGCTATAGGGCTATAGGGCTATAGGGCTATATGGCTATAGGGCAAAAGGGCAAAAGGGCTATAGGGCGATAGGGTTAGAGGGCTATAGGGCTATAGGGATATAGGGCTATGGGGCTATGGGGCTATAGGGCTGTAGGGCTACAGGGCTATAAGGCTATAGGCCTATAGGCCTATAGGTCTATAGGCCTATAGGGCCATAGGGCTATCGGGCTATAGGGCTATATGGATATCGGGCTATAGGGCTATATGGCTTCAAAACCACTGGACGCTTGAGCACCCGGGCACCCGGGCACCCCCGGGCACCTCTGGTATAGGAACCTTCGGCACCCCCGGGCACCCGGACACCCAGGCACCCCCGGGCACCCAGGCACCCGGGCACCCGGGCAACCAGGCACCTGAGTACCGAAATCGGCGGCACACCTCATCTAACCATATGAACCCGCTAAGACCCCTACAGAGACAGGCTCCGATTGGAGAACATTGTGCTCATTTTTGCCTAAGTCGGGCAACCGGGGCCCGCCGCGCTTCGGATTTGGTTGCTCACCCTGGACGGGGGATTTGGAGTTCGCCAGCACTGCGGCGCGGCAGTCGCGCGGGGCGAGGGCGGTGTCGAATGGGGGCTTGGCGACAGTGGGAGCGGCCTCCCACGCGTGCTGCGCGCAGTCGCGGGGGAGGGGGTACAGCGCACTGTAACTATGAGAATACGGGTTCTCATGTGTGCTCTCGGTCCCAGAGCACTAGCGCGCATCTGACACGCAACGCTGCTGCTCTGGAAGTAGTGGCGTTTCGCGTATCTACACAAACCTGCCCACGGGCCCGGCTCGCAGTCGCCCTGGTTTCCCACACGCACTGTCTGGTGGACCTGCGGGCGTTGAGATCGCCACGGAGTGGTTCAGCCCTTCGCAGCAGCCGCAGCACCCCAGGCTAAAAGCACTGTTGGGTGGACTGGCAGGTGTTGAAATCGCCGCGGAGTGGTTCAGCCCCCTTCGCAGCAGCTGCAGCACCCCAGGCTCACCTACCAGCTTCCGGCAGGTTGCGTTGCACCACGTTCCGCGACAGCTCAACCCCCCTGGCTAGCACACGTCGTCTAGGCCGGTTGGAGCCTGGCGCCCCACTGGCGACTCTCTCCTCGGGCCTCGCGCTCGCCCCCTCTCAGAATGACGGACTCGGTTGCTCAGGTACACGTCTTGTCACTGCGTGGGCCGCTCCTCATGGCCGGCATCGAATTCCTCAACATTTTGCCCAGTGCGCGTGCTCGAGCTTCCCAGGATGCCCCCCGCCGTCAATCCCCCCACTGCCTCGCGGCGGCTTTGTGAGTGGGCCAGCCGGCTAGTGCGCCTCTTGTGGCTAATTAGGCTTGCCCGTTGGCCCGGATATCTTGCCCGCGGCCTGCCTCTTCGCTTGCGGCCGCGACCGAAAAAGTATCTACACAAACCTCCTCTGGCACCTGGCGCGAAAGGTACAATTCGTTTGCCTGCCCTGTGGTCTCGCCCCTGGAATGGCTGCACTTCACCCGCCTGGCACACCTGGCACCTCTTGCAGCTCTGCCTTCAGTCTACGGCGTCGCTCCTCGGCGTCCCTCGGGGGCAGTTTCGGCGGCCGTTAGTTCACGCGCTTAGGTAGTTAGGTTTGGCTCGTAGCCCGGGCTGACATTGGACGCCGCCTGCGCTTCCGCTTGCGGCCGCGACAAAAATCGACGCAAACCTCCAGAGACGAGCCTGGGCGAGCTGCCTTGATCAACAGCTTGGCAAAAGCGCGATGCAATAAACGCGCGCGCAACAAACGCATGCCTTCAAAACGACAAAGTGGCACAATCAATTGGACAATCAATTCCCCCCGTACAAGACCACCAGGCATGTTTTTTGTTCGCCGCGCTAGTCGCTGGGGGCATGGGCAGCCTTCATATCGAAACGAACGGGGCACACATGCGCCCAATGCTGACAACAGCCACTGAGTGTCCCTGCAATGCCCTCTCGAAGATGGGAGCGGGGTTCAATTTCCGCAACTCCTGGGAGTCCTCGTCAATCGACTGCGGCCAATGACAGCTTGAAAGCTCACCAAGCACGTAATGATCACTTACCACGAGCCCCAAGATCTGCACAGAGCCCGGAAATAACACGACGCACTCGCTTTATTATGAAAACCGTCTGTCTTCACATTTATGACGAGCTCCTGAAAGGAGCACCACCCTCCGTAAGTTTGCACATGAAACGAACAGTGCCGGAGGAGGTGCAGCACCAAGTTGACGATGCACCTCGCTTTCTCTTCAAAACGGCCACGAATACTCCTCCAAAAGTCAGCCTCGCCCGTTCCACGCCCGTTGATACCATGGTCACGTCCAGATTGAGGGAGACTATCTTCTCCAATACAACGCGAGGAACATCGTCAAACGACTCGTGCGAATGGTACGTGGCGTGGATATAAGCTACCGCTGCTCGGCACTGGGCATCCTCATCCAAGGTGGCCAGATACGCGAAGTCAGGGTCGTGCACAAATTCGGCGTTACGGTGGAACTTTTGTCCTCCTCACCGTCGCCAGATGATCAAGAACTGGCCCCGATACGTGGACTCGGTCCGCGTCCTTCTCAGTGTGCAGCGGGGTCTGTGCTATGATTTTGTCCTGTCTCGCAACCGACAAGAACAGCGAAGAACCCGCCCTTTCAACAGGGTAGACGATCTTGGGCGTGGAACCTTGCGGAGGCAGAACTCTCGGGGTACTGGCGACAGATTCGCAAGTCGCAACCCTCCAGAGATGGCGAGGTCCAACTCTGATCTGCGTGGCACCGCACTGAGCTGGACCCCCAGCAGCCCTCGAGACTGGCGAAAGTTTCGCAGTTCGCAGCCCCGCAGAGATGGCGAGGTCCCCCTCTGATTTGCGCAGCACCGCGCCAAGCTGGACCCCCCAGCAGCCCCCGAAGGTGGCAATGGTCTCGCAGATCGCAGCCCCCCAGAGATAGCGAGATCGGAAGCAAGTACGAGAAAGGTACAAGACAAGAGGAGAACGAGAGAGAGGAAGAGGGAAAAAGAGGGAAAGAGAAGAGAGAGAAGGAAATACAGAGAGAGAGAGAGAAAGAAATACAGAGAAGATAGAGAGAAAGAAAGAGAAAGAGAGAGGGAGAGAGGAAGGAGGGAGGCGGGAGGAGGAGAAGGAAGGACGCGACCGCGGTGCTCTATTCAAAACGAGAACCCAACGACAACGGAGGGTTGAGGAAAAATCTCAATCTAGCGAATTGAATGCAAAACGTACCGAGCGATGCAAGACTATCTGGGAAAGGCTTCAGAGAGGCCCAACAGGGCCCCGAGCCGGCCAGGGACAGGCCCAAGCGAGACCCAGACGGCTCCAGGGCCTGCCCGGGCGGCCCCGAGCTGGTCCGACCAGGCCCTCGGAGAGCTCGGGAGAGCCATCGCGCCCAGGACGAACCATCGCGCCCAGGGCGGCCCCGCGGCCCCCGGTCAGCCCCAGGCACGAGCTCCCAGGAGGCAGAGGAGCCCAGGAGGGCAGAGGCCCCCCCGAGGCCCCGAGGGCGGAGGCCTCCGAGGCCCAGCCACGCGCTCCCAAGAGGCCAGCAGGAGAGCCCCAAGAGACCGCGGAGGGGGCTCGAAGGGGCACCCGGGGAGACTCCCCGAGGCCTTCCAGACAACCCCAGGACGCAGCGCAACCACCGTGCAGTGCTGTGGATGAGCCACACTACACAGCGTAGAGCCGCTCCCAGGGAGGCTGGATACAAGACGTCGCGCCCGGGTGATCGATCATATGTCTTCACATCCTCAAGACCTCCAACAACTCGATTAAGCCTCGAGCCCAACCACTTCAAAACTTCTACTTGTTCTCGCCCCTTGGAGAGAAATCCCACCAGCCCTCTGGGCATAGATGGCTTAGATCGCCCATTCCTTTTTCTTAAACAGGGGTTCACTGCTACCCCAACACCCTATCCAGTGGTGAAAAACTAGGGCGTCGCGGCACGCTGGTGTCCAAGATGGTCCAAGATGGGTCCAAGAGGGCCCTAGATGGTCCACGAGTCCAAGAAAGTCCAAGAAAGTAAAATATAGCACAATCAACATGGCCGCAATCACTCCTCCAACAGGCCGTAAAACCGGCACAGTATGGCGCCAAGTGGACACAGAGCCTCCCCAGGATACAGATGGGACCCCAAAAACCCTCAGTACGATGCATGACGATGCATAAAACCATAATCAGTTGATGCGCACCTCTACGACCACCCTTCGGGTGATAAAAAGGTCAGGGGTGGGGGAAAAGCACCAACTGCTGGCAAATGCGATGGGTGTGATGATAACGATGCTGGTGACGCGCCCTCGAGTTTGCGATGTAATGTCACTTTCGTCCCCCTTTCGATCTTACTCGATCGAAGCCACTATCGACCTTACAGGATCGATCACACTCGATCGATCTCACTGTAGTTGTCATTATCGATCTCACGATAGACCTCACTATAGATCTCTATTTCGATATCATTATCGATATCACTATAGATCACACTCTCGGTTCCTCTATGGATATCACTATTGACTATCGATCCCACAAGCAATGTCACAATTAACCTCACTGCCAATCTCACTTTTGATCTTACTATCCTTCTCATTCGAGCGATCTCCTTATCGATCTCACTTTCGACCTCACTATCGACACCAAGGCGGGAAACCCCCGACCACCGCCCGCCCACCGCCGACGGAACACCGACGGGACACCATTGGGACACCAACGGGACACCACAGGACAAAACGGCGGGATACCCGGGCCACCGCGCGCCCACCAGGGGCGGAGGGGCAGTCCACTGCATCCGAATCGCCCTAGCGAACGACGGCGGGGACATTCCTCTCGCACGCCCACGCAGCTTCGCCTCGCCAGAACGCACGACACGACCACGAGATCGAATCCGATTTCCCTGTGGGAGGAGATCCGTTCCACTGCGATCTCACCCTCGAAACATTCGAGACATACATAGATACATAAATATACATGCTCATGCACGTATATGCATGTAGTAACATGTTTGTATACGTGCATATGTATAGGTACATGTACATACACATGTGTATATATATACGTATATATGTATATACCCTCGTAAGTGCATGCATCCATCACCCATACGTTCCATACAACAGTATGTGTGTAAATACAGGTGCAGCATCAAGTGTCGTATGCAAACACCCAAACATGCATCTGTATACATTGGCATGGACATTTGTTTGTGCATATATATATATACACACGACACACATGAATAAAAACATGTTGCCAAACAACAAAGGATGGTATGCGCATTCTCGCCTGTCCGCTTCAAGTGGCATTTCCATGTCTCAAGATGGTTCCAAGAATGCCCACGAGAGAGCCACAAGATGGGGTCATCAGGACCCCAAAACAGCAACAACAAAAAACAGGAAAACGTCCCAAGAGGGCCTCAAGGGGCAATTTGCCGAGATCCATCAGGACCACGCTCGTTGTGTAAATGACACGTGTCAGGAGCATCAGAGGGAGGATGTTAGACCAAGAAGGCTCAGGATGCCTTGAGATGGCATCCAAGATGGCACAAGATAGACCAAGGTGGCTCAAGATGGCTCAAGATGGCGTCAAACAGATCCCAAGAGGCCCCAAAATGGCCCCAAGGCGGCCAAATGCCGCTACCAGTGCACAAATCTCGCTGGAGGCGGAGGTGACAGGCGTGTGGCACAGCTGCCACTTTTATAGCATCTGCAGGTCCGCCCACTGAATCAACGCCCTCCTGCCCGACCGCCACATGCCCTCGCTAACAACTGCAGGCTGGAGATACCCATCGAAGGTAAATGCCCTAGCCACGCGCAAATGTCGTACTGTGGTCAGAGCTGGTAAAAAAAACGAACTACTCGCAAGCGGTGCATTCCACGAGGTGCACATGATGCTGGGCAGAGACATAGTCGCACAGTAATTCGCATCGTTTTGAATACTCAACTCGCACTGACCACCTGCTCGTCCTACCCTGGTATCGAGGGGCAACGTTATGTGGCACCCGCTCAGGGGGGAAGCATCGATCTGGAGTCGGCGATACATCGTCGATAGATCGGCGACAGGCCCCAGATGGCGAATACGCGGGCGGGGTGGGGCATGCAGACCCCTATCGGCGATGAATGGGCAATTTGGGATCGATGCATTCCCTACCGATCATATCTAGAAGAAAAACATGCACAAACATAAACTTTCGGAAATCCGCGCGGGCCTACGAAACTTTATGTTTGTGCAGTGGTTTGTTCTTCGACTATACCCCCCTATCGTTGCCCCTGGGGTGGCTGCTCGCGCGGATGGTTCAATCGAGGAGCAGTTCTCTCTGTCAGGACAATCACAGCACGGAGGCTGCCTCCCTTCTCTGAGGGACATCGATAAGGGGAGCACAGGCATAGTGGGGGAAACATCGACCTAGAATCGGCGATCTATCGTCGATAGGTCGGTGATAGGCCACCGACAGTGAATCCGAACATTCCTGGGCTGGTTGGGGCTAACAGGCCCCTATCTGCGATCAGTGGACGATTAGGGGTCGACACATCCCCCCTATTCGGCTGCGAGCCCGGGCGGGAAGTGAGAATTTGCGGGCCTCCTCAGAAGGCTGGAAGTCCCCCGGCCTTCTGAGAAGATTCCTAAGCCTTCCCGGAAGACACAAAAAACTTCTCAGAAGGCGCGAGGGCTTCTGAGAAGTCCCGCCGCCTTCTCAGAAGGCCCGCTCTTTCTCACTTCCCTGCCTCACTTGCCGCCGGCCTTGCCTATCCCCCTATCGTTGCCCATGATGCTCTCATGCGCCATACACCCGCCCCGACCTCTTGTTGGCAACCTGCTGGACGACCAGGTTCGACAAGACCTGCGCAGGCCACATGCACGCTGAAGACGCCGCCGGGGAAGCAGCAGGCTTGAACTCAAGAGTTGTGTGATGCTCGCAGAGCGTTCAACGCCGACTTACCTGAAAGGCCCAGGGACACACTTTTTACCAACGCGAGAGGGGCCCAGTGGCAGAGTGCGGAAACGACACGACCGCTAGACGACCGATGGACTACAGACAAGGACGAGCGCGGGGGGGGCGGGGGGGCGGGGGAGGGGGGGAGAGGGAAGCGCCCGCGCGCGTCCAACGCGCACGCGCGCTCAGCCGCCCGCCGACGTCCGCGCGGCGGTCGGCCGGGCCCACGGACACACAAATAAGTAGGCACAAAATCAAAGAATGTCCCATGTTTCCAGTGTTCCCTGAATGCTCGTCTTCCCCTCCACTTCCCATATGTTCCACATGTTCCTGAGAATCGACGAGTATGTGTGTCCGTGTGTTATGTCCTTTCCTGGCAAACGTCCCCAACAAGTAACCCGCACAGCCACCCTCGAGCTGCACGCGCATAATACGTAGTAGAAAAGCTTCCCGCCGATAAGGGAATTGCAGCGGGGGATAGATTATACACCTATTCCACATTTCCCCCGTGAAATCCCACCAACCCTATGGGCGTAGGTGGTCTAACGACATTAACTCTTCCTCTTCCAAAATCCTTTTCCCTTCGTACAGGAGTACCTTCCCATCCCCATCCCCATCCCTGCGGTTGTTTTGCCCCCCCCCCTCGCGATGTGCAAAAGGGTCCTTCTCAATAAATACCCCAAGCGTCGGCGACCTGGAACTGGATTGTTCCAATTCCGGTTCCGGCTCCGGTTCTGGTTTTGGTTCCAATTTCGGTTCCGGTTCCAGTTCGCCTCCAGCTGGGAGGAGGGGAAGCGTTCCAGTTCCACTTCCGGTTCCGGGTTTCCAACTGGGCGTGAACTCGGTTGACTGGAACTGGAACTCGAACTGTTCTGGCTCCGGTTCCGGATCCACTTCCGGATCCCGTTCCCGTTCGCATCCAGCCGGGGGGGGTGTTTTGGTTCCGGTTCTAACTCCTGGCTTCCAGCCGGGCGCGAGGTCGATGAAGTAGAACTGGAACTGGAGCTGTTCCAAATCCAAGTCTGGTTCCGGTTCCGCTTCCGGTCCCGGTTCCGGTTCCGGTTCAGGTTCGCCTCCAACCGGGGAGGAGAATGCGTTCCGTTCCCGTTCTGGTTCCGGCTCTGGGTTCCCAGCCGGGCGTGAAGTCGGTGAATGGAACTCGAACTGGAACTGTTCTGGTTCCGGTTCCGGTTCCGGCTCCTGTCCTGGTTCCAATTCGCCATTCGTCTCCGGGTCTGGCAATGGAACTGGAAATGAAACTGCTCCGGTTCCAAATCCGGTTCCGGCTCTGGTTCGCCATTCTGCTCCAGGTCCAGCAATGGAACTGGAACTGGAACCGGAACTTCTCTGGTTTTGGTTCCGGTTCCCGTTCTGGTTCCGCTTACAGTCCCGGTTCTGGATTCAGCTCCAGGTCCAGCAGTGGAACTGGAACTGGAACTGGGACTGGAACTATTCCGGTTTCGGTTGCGGTGCTGGTTCTGGTTTTGGTTCCAGTTCCAATTCCGGTTCCGGCTCTCGGTTCCGGATCCGATTCCGGTTCTGGATCTCGATTCGGCTCCGGGTCCAGCAGCGGGACTGGCACTGGAACTTGAACTGGAACTGTTTTGGTTCCGGTTCTGGTTTCGGTTCTGGTGCGCCTCCAGCCAGACAGGACATAGGAATGCACGTAACGTCGCGACTGCGAAAATGATGTACGATTGTTGAATAAATTTGCGCGCTGACGACGTCTATTGCTGCCAGGGTTGGCCCCGCTTGCGGCGCGCAGACAAGTCTCTCAGAGACCCACACGCGTCACACAACAAGCGCATTACAAGTGAACTCGCACATGGCCAGAAATGCTGCTGGAACGAAGCATCTGCGATAACGGTATCGCTGAGGCTTTCTGCAACACGCTCGCGTTACTCTGGATATATATA